ATGTTATTTCTAAACAATTCTCTTGAAATTAGATTTTGAACATTGTTTCAAGTTGATTGATACATGAAAAAATTTAACTTAAAAGTTTCCAAATAAATAAAATAAATGCATCAACTTAAATTTAAAAATCTGACATGAGTTTCACACAAAGTAAGATTTGGAATAGTTGGTCTAAAATTATTTGATATAGCTTAATCTAGTTTTTGATAATAAGTGAATTTTTTATCCTCAGCTAAAAATAAAAATAAAAATAAACCATTATCATACAGTATTGTTCGTGTAAAAACATTTAAAATAAGAAAATTACCAAACTAAATAAAACGCAACCAAAGATTGTTTATTTTTTGTATCTAAGAATCCTATAATGGATAGATTTCGAAATTTATAAGTTTTTAAAATTCTGCATTATTTTTGCATAATATGATAAAATAATGTAAATTTTTATCATCTTTTGATCTGATCAATAAGCTTGGTTATTCTTAAACTAATCATAATTATTTCATATTATGCAAAAATAATACAGAATTTTAAAAACTTATAAATTTAGATTTTAAATTAGGTTAAAATAATAATCATATAAAATCATGAAACTCAAATAAATAAACATATATATATATATATATTTATATAGTTTGATTTCAAATCAAACCTGATTTTAACGAATATAAACACGTTTTAAAAGTTTTTTGATATTTTTATTTTTATTTTTATGTTTAAAAACCGATTGTAACTTTATAAACTCTTTAAACTTTTTCCTAGTAAAAGGTTAATCTATCATGTTTTATCTAATAAGCATGCTATATTAAAAGAAATTATCTTTCTTTTCATCTTATCTATATTTTGTATTTAGGTATTTAAAATATAAAAAAGTTTAAAATAATTAATTAATTTATTTATATTTAGTTATTTGATGTTAAATATATATATATATATATATATATATATATATACATATATTGTATAAATATTTTTAAATCTCAATTCTTTATTTTTATGTTGTGGAATAATATTAATAAATTTTTTTCTATTAAATAAGTTTTTTTTACAGTAGTTTGTTTACCAAAGTGCTTCTAATCTTTTATGTTGTAATATTTTCAAAAACTTTGGTGGTTCAAAGATAGTTTGTTCTTATGATCTGATGATTGTATTTGTTTTTAGCAAAAGTTTATATTTTAATTTTTTAATATTTTAGACGTTCCTTTTAACATTCAAAAAATACTAGCATTTAATCTCATATTAATTTTAGTGTTTTAAAATTTTATTTCCTTTATTGATATAAAATTTATTTTAACTTGCTTAATTTTATATTTTCATAATTTTTAACATTTGTGCGACATGAATATGTACAAAAAAATACTTTGAAAATTATTAAAATACTCTAAATAAAATTGAAATAATTATTATATGTAATTTCTTAAACTTTAGTTGTCAAATTAAATTAGTGGGATATATAGAATTTCAATTTATTTTTCTTTATATCAAAACTATTTAAGATATCTTTTCTAAACTCTTTAATCAGTTGATAATAAATATATATATATATATATATATATATAGTTTTTCATATTTTATTGAAATTTTTATAATGATTTTTTTAATAATAAATGCTAATACAATGATGATGTGGTTATTAAAAAAGATATAAAATAAGGTAATTTAAGCTCATTTTAATTAATGATGAATAAAAAAGAAAAAACTCAATGATTAATATAAAGCAATGTTTTACTATAACATCTTAATAAAAGAAAATTTCTAATATCTCTAGAATCTATTTATTTAGATACTAATAAATATTTTCTTATTATTGTATGAATATTTATTTTATTATCAATTATTTTAGAGACTAACACAGTAGTGTGTATCTTTGATGATGCTTATTTTAACATAGTATTGTAAAAAGAAGACTAAACACATATACACACATACATGCACAAACCCACCTACATGTGAGTGTTTATATATATATATATATATCTCATATATGCTTAAGATCAAACGTTTTTATTTTAGTTCATTATTATAATTTTCTTTGTTTGATTGATCCATTAATTTAAGACTATCAAGATTTTTTTATGGACAGAATATGTAGCATTATAATTATAAACTTATAGATATTTGACTAAAGTTTGTATCCAATATTTAAAATCACTTGATTAATTAATTAATTTCTTTTTAAGAATGAAAGAAGATTCTTTAATATGCAAATCAATGTTTGAAGATTTAAAAATATACTTATGTATAATAGTTTTTTATTGTCATTGATTTGAATCTATTAGAAAATAAAAAATATATGTTTTATTAATATTAAAACAAAGAGTGCTTACAAGATTTTTAGAATAAAAAGAACAAATAAAAAATTATAATTCTAGTAATTATATCATTTTATTATTTAGTTAACAATATTGTTTTTTTAAACATATATTTTAAATATATAAATTATTATTAGTATTTTATACTTCTAATATATAATAATTATATAAATAAAATCTTACTTAATAATTTTTAATAATATTATTTATAAATATTTAGTTGAGCTACTAGATTATATTAGATAAAAAATAATAATTTAAATATTTAGAAAAGATCTAGAAAATCATAATGTGAAAGAAACCATCATTCATTAGTTCCGCATATTATTTCTATAAGGTTTATAGAATTTTTATGAATTTTAGAATTATAATATAATTAATTTAATTATATTATATAAATATTAATATAAATGTACATAATAATTAAAAAAGTTAAGTTTTTGAAATACCAAAGGATCTTATTACATCAACACTTAAATCAATGCATGTAAATTTTAAAGTATCATTGTATTTGAAAGATGACTTACTTGATTTCGTACTTCATTCTTTTATGATATAACAAAAAAATATTATTTTATCCTATTGCAAATTTATTAAAAAATAAAGAACATTTTACATATGAATTTTAAAATATAAAATATAAATTAAATAAAAATATCATTCAAATTAGTGCTTCTAATTAAATAAAGGATTATATATATATATATATATATATATATTCAAATCTTTAATATCTTATATCTATGTACATTTTAAATTATTGACAAACCATAGTAAAAATAATATTATCTTAATCTTAATGTTATGTTATATATATATATATATATATATATATATATATATTTATTAAAAAATAATATTTGTTTGAAATAATTAAAAGTCTTTACTAAAAATTATACTCTTATAGCCAACCTAATCAAATAGAAATATTAAATTCATAATACAATATCAATGCAAAGTTTTGAAATACTTAAATAGAAGACAATATTGCCAAAGTAGTAAAGAAAAATACTTTTAAAGTATTATTGCAATGATAAATTTAGATTTAAATTCATATTTCTTTTATTCAAGGAGTTAATAAATAAATCCTTTAAGTTCACATATATTTTTATTTAATCATCTATTTACTATTATATTGCAAGATACTTTAATTTCAACTTGATGATAAAAGTGATATGAAAAGTAATTAAATTGATTTAATTGTAGAAGATTGTGAACAAATGTATTTGGTTTTAGGACACATATATAAGAGCCAAGGCTCAATGCTTCAACTATATTTTTTTACTCTAACTACTTTTTATCCAAATAAAGTCATATTTTATTATTGATATAATTCTTTGAAATATTTAAATTATATTTTAAGATATTTAATAAAACTTATACATAAATTTATACTAAATTAAAAATTAATGCAACCATATTTAATAAAAATATAATTATTTAGATTTGTATAATATATTACAAATACATTTTTTAACAATCTTCTACAATTAAAACCATTGATACATAAACCATATATATTTATATTGAATATAAAACCATTAGAAATATTTATAAATAAATTTATACTTATACAATAATTTATATTTATATTGAATATAAAACCATTAGAAATATAATTATTTAGATTTGTTTTTGTTTATGGTGTAACATAATTATATTAGTAGCATAATTTTTTTTAAAAACCTATAATTATATTTTAAAGAATTTATAATCACCATCTTTATTCAAGTTACTTTCTAAATCAAATATATCTAAAGTCAAAATATAATAAATTTTGTTATATAATTTGGTGTTATTCAAATAAAACTTATATTCTATCTACAAGAACCTCAAAGCCAAAATAAAAAGATTATGTAAATTATTATTAACAATCATTCTTAAATTTTAGAATTAAAAGTGAGGTGTTGTTTTTTAAAAGGATGTAGAAAGATTCTGATTACAAAGAGTATTAAACTAGTAAGATATTGATCTGTGCTCAAATATTTACTAAATAAGTTTAGTTGGTCCTTTAATTGAATTCTCGTCTAGTTAACATCTAATTAAAATATGTTAATTATATGAAAATTCAAATATTTGAAAAAAAATATTAAAAAACATTCATTAATAATAACAAAACCAAATATAAAATTAGTAGATTTTTTAAGTTTAGGACTAAATAAATTCACTTAAAATATTTGATATATTCCACAGAATATAATTTAGGGAATAAAAAACTAAAAATCATTATCTAATTTACCTTATATATTTTAATATCTATATATGAATGCAACTACAATGTCTTAATTTTATCTTTTTTGTTTTTTTTCCTTTTAAACCTTTGATAGTGAGTTCGATATATTTGTAAACCACAATAATATTTATTTTTTTGTTTCTCTCTCTACACATAATACAACCACAAACAATTTCCCATCATCATCAAAGATTTGTGTATTTTTATTTCAAAGATATAAAATTTCGTTATAATTAACAGATTTATGAAAAAATCTACAAAACTACACATAAAAAAACCTTGTTATTTCTCTTTTGATTCACACGATCGATTTTTAGAAAAGTTATTAGAAAAGTTATTGCAATAACTTTCTGCCCACGCCCCCGAGGTTGCAACGCTCGAAAAGTCCCAGAGCAACCTTTTAGGTCATCTTTGTTACTTTTTGTTTTCCCTCGACTTTTTGCGTCAAGGACATTGTGGCAGCCAAGCTCGTCGATGTCAGCGCCATCGATGAGCCACAGCGAGCTCCGCCTTTGCTGACCCCTCGTCGGTCGCTGCTTTTTGATCTTAAACCCTGATTTTGTTAATCCTTGGAAGAGCTCGAGGAGGAGATGCACTGCAGCTGGGTGTCGTCTTGAGTGTATGGGCTGTGGTTGTATTGGCAAATCTTCGACCGATTGTGGGTTTTAGGGTTTTGGTGGGTGCGGTGGACGCGATGGCTACAACAGATGTCGCAATGAATAGGGAGGCGTTCAAGACTTTGGTGAAGAATACGTTGGAGAGGAGGTTGTTCTACATTCCGAGCTACAAGATCTATGGCGGTGTGGCGGGGTTTTACGACTATGGCCCATGGGGGTGCCAGGTCGAGACGAACGTGCTGAACTTGTGGCGCCAGCACTTCGTAATGGAGGAAGATATGTGGGAGATTCGTTGCCCCTGCGTCACCCCTGAGGTCGTCTTGAAGGCCTCCGGTCATGTGGATAAGTTTACCGACTTGATGGTGAAGGATCTGAAGCTGGGGTCTTGTTTCCGGGCCGACCACCTGTTGAAGGATTTCCTCACTAAGGCGCTTGAGGATGACGCAAGGTTGGTGGCTGAGAGGGCCGCTGCTCCTCAAGCAGTGGTGCCTGATAGGAAGAGTAAGAAGAATGTGGCCGAGCCATTGACGCCCGAACAGAAGTTGCGGATGCAGAGCGACCTTGCTGGGCTTGATGAATTCTCGGGTCCGGAATTGGGCGAGAAAATCAAAGCGTATAGCATTAAGGCACCGGAGTCCGGCAACGACCTTTCGGATCCTTATCCTTTCAATCTTATGTTCTCCACGCAAATTGGCCCGACTGGCACTCTACATGGGTAAGAGTCCTAACCTTGGTTTCTTCCCTTTGGAGTCCATTACGTGAAGCTTGAATGCTCGCAAACTGAAACCTGTGGGGTCTTCTGTCCAACAGTTATATGAGGCCGGAGACAGCACAAGGCATTTTTGTGAACTTCAGGGATTTGTACTACGAAAGTGGTAATAAGCTGCCTTTCGCTGCAGCCCAGATTGGTTCAGCGTACCGCAACGAGGTTTCAAGCTTTACTCAGAGCTCTTGATAATTTTTTTAACAATATTTTGTTTCTGTTAGGATCCAGGGTGGCCTGGTACAGTGATTAAGGTCCGACAGTATCACTTGTGTGTAAATTACCCCTTACCATTTCTCCTCTATGAAATCTGCGCTCGACTGCTAGTGAGTCCAAAGGGTTACTTGTTTCCTTCCTAGACGTGAATGAAGGTTTTCATGAAGGATGGATCCCACAAAAGTTAGTAATGTAACTTGAGGTGCAGAGTTATATGATCTGTATTTAACCATATTAATTTTTTTGGTCATTCAGGAAATGTGTTTAATGTCACTATTTAATAGAAAGTACATGAGAACTTATAACGCAGGGGTATTCGACTATCCTAACCTTATACTGTAATGTGGAATTCAGATAGCCCCACGACAAGGCCCCATGCGGGTAAGGGAATTTACCATGGCAGAAATCGAACATTTTGTTAATCCAGACGACAAGTCGCACCCTAAGTTTAAGAGTGTGGAGAATCTAGTGGTCTATCTCTTTCCAAGAGCTGAACAAATGGCTCTTAGAGACCATGTCGAAATGCGGATCGGTGACGCTGTAGCTCAGGTGATGAATCCTGACCTCTTGGGTTGGATTTTAATGGTTCTTCAACTACTTTTGATCGTTTGAAGTAATGAATCATAGTAGTAGCATAAATTGTTGGAATTACTGCGATTTTTCCTGTGCCCTCATCTGGGTTAAAGTTGTCTATTTTTATTTTTTACAGTTCTAGGCTTGTCTGCTATCAGTCCATTTAGATTTTGTTGTTACTTGTTAATCAACATTTCATTCCGGTTAACACGGGCAAGCGTTCGGTTGTTTCACCTATTCTTGTAGTTTTCGTGATCCTACGAAGATTTCAGTTCTAACACTAACGTGTGATTGATGCACAGGGTATCGTAGATAATGAAACCTTAGGCTACTTCATTGCAAGGACTTACTTGTTCCTGACTAAGCTGGGTATTGACAAGAAACGCTTGAGATTCCGCCAACATCTTGCGAATGAAATGGCTCACTACGCCCAAGACTGCTGGGACGCTGAGATTGAATGCTCTTATGGTTGGTTCGAGTGTGTTGGTTGTGCAGACCGATCTGCGTACGATCTCAAAGCTCATACAGTATGTGCCTCAAGTTTTAATTTTTGCTCAATTTGTCATACTTTTTTGGGGATGATGGTCGCCCTATTATTAGCTTGTTGGGCTTTACTCTCTGGGTTCCCTCATTCAATCTGCTCATTCTGGTTGGGCCCAGGCAAAGAGTGGTCAAGAACTTACCGCGTACGAGTCTTTCGCTGAACCGAAAGATGTTGTGGTACGTGACTCATCATATGTTTTTTCACTTCTTTCAATTTTATGGAGCCAGCGCTTGTAATCTGGTTGAGATTAATTATCAAGTTTTAGAGGATACCTGTCACCTCACTAACTTCTACAGTATGGATGTGATCTTGATATGTGGAACTTTCAAATTTTCTCGTCATGTTTGCAGCAACTAACAATCGTACCGAACAAGAAGGTGTTGGGTAAGGAATTCCGGAGGGACCAGAAAATTCTTTCAGAATCTCTGGAGGTCAGTAATTTGATCCTAATCTTTGATAGTTGGATGGCAAGGGGCATGGGGTTTTGTTTGTTCTTGGTTGCTTCCTCCTCTCCAAACAAACCATTTTGAAATTGCTAGCCTTGATGCTTCTGGTGTGAAAATTTTAGAAGTTATGTAATTAACCAACTCATGATTGTCTCAGGCGATGAATAGGGAAGAGGCATTGGCTCTTAAAGCTAAACTTGAAGAGAAGGAGAAAGCGACATACAAGGTGTGCTCGACAGGTCAAGAGTTTACGCTCACGAAGGAAATGGTAGCAATCGAAGAGAAAGTTGTGAAAACGCACGGTCGGAACTTCACACCATCTGTGATTGAGCCGTCATTCGGAATTGGTCGTATTATGTACTGTTTGTACGAGCATTGCTTCTACTTGCGGCCTGCTGTGCCTGGAGAGCAAGTAAGCAGTGTATTCAGATTCCCTCCAATAGTAGCTCCTATCAAGTGTACTGTCTTCCCACTCATGCAGCGAGAAGTCCTCAATGTTAAGTCCAAGGCAATGTCGAACGGTCTCACCAGGGCAGGCGTGTCCAACAAATTGGACATTACGGGCAGGTCAATCGGGAAGAGATACGCCAGAACAGATGAGGTTGGTATCCCATTCGCCATAACCGTTGATTTTGATGAAGGTGTCACAGTGCGAGAAAGAGACTCGAAGCAGCAAGTTAGGATTCCAGATGCTGAGGTTGTTGACGTTGTACGGGATCTTTCCAATGGCACGGTTGTTTGGGAGGACGTTGCAGCCAAGTATAAGCTAGTTACAGTGGCAGAAATTGAGGCTGAGTTATAGGTAGTCATTGTGGACTCGGCAGGTCCTTTGTCATTGTGGGTACTGGTACCACATAATTCTAGGTAGAAGTGTGCACCTTGCAGTGTCCACATCACTTCATTCTATTGTAGTAATTCTTCAACATGTGTAGATGGTCTCCTTTGGCCTTCTCAATCTCAATATTGGATGCGTTTTTCAACGTCCTTGAAACAGTGATTCTTTTGCATATGGGTGTGTACATGTATGATTTGAAAGCCATCTGACAGTATAGGTTCCTTTGTAACTGGTGCTGATGGTTCCTGTGTTCTAGCTGGTTACAAATGGTGAGGTGGTGAAATTAGTAAATGCGATTAGATTAAAATATGAGGTTCATCATTTTTTGAACTTTAGATGTAAATAGTGTTGAGAATGTTTGGAGAGAGGCAAGAGTAGTTGGAAGTAATGTGCATACACATGAGTGTATAGAAGGAGAGATAGCTACTTATCTATATATTGATGTGCTTGTTTTTTGTATACAAAGAGAAGGGGAGAAGATAAACAATTTCTCCCCACTACATTCCAAACATTGTAGTTGCACTATTTATTGTAAACTACAATATATATTGTGGAGAGCATCAGCTACATTTAATGTTTTTAATATTCTTCCTTGCTTGTCATAATTATTTTAAGAGTTCATTAACTTTCTTGCTCAAAAAAAGCAAGTTGCCATATGCCTATGCCATAAATAAGTCAACGATGGTTGTACAAAGGAAGAGTTTTGGTGAGGAGAACAACAAGATTATTTGCAGATTTAATTTTCTTGATCTTAAATGTTTGATCAGTAACCAAGTAAAGGATGTAATTAAAATACTTTGGATCAATATGCTTTGTCTTGTCGCCTTTAATGAAACCAACTTGCATCTATGCAACACAAGCGCTATTGTCTTCATACAAGATAGTTGGAGAATCATCATATGAAAGTCTACAGGTTTGAATGATTTTATCAATTGATCACAACCAAATGTATTCCCAAGATGCTTCATGTAAGGCAATAACTTTTGCACAATTGGATGAAGTTGTAGTTATAGTTTGTTTTATTGATTTCCATGATATTATAGTTCTATGTCTTACAAATATATAGCTTGTTTTAAATTTAGGTGTTGCAATATTAGATTTATATCCTGAATTACAATATCCAACCAATTTTGGATCTGTTCATTGTGTATAGTATAATTCCAAGTTTTCAATGCTTTTAAAATAACATAATAAATGTTTGATGCCATTCCAATGTTGTAGTATTGGATGTGCACTATGTCTTGCAAGAATACTAATTGCAAATACAATATCTGGTCTTGTAGATGTGGCTAAATATAAAAGTGCTCCAATCTTTGTAAGGTATGGATATTGATCTATCAATATTTCTTATTCTTCTTCATACGGATGATATGGATCATCACCATCACAACCACGTCCAACCATTGGTGTTTTCAATAAATAAGCATCAGTTATATTAAATCTCTACAAGATTCATCTAATATATGTTAATTGGTAGGCAAAAATGCTACCATTTGTGAGATGCCTAATTTGAAGACCAATATAAAAAGTTGTTTTACTTAGCATTTTCATCTCAAACTTATGATTAAATAGGTTAGTAGCTCTATCACATGCAGATTTAGTATCCATTGGATTAACATCATCAACATATTGTCATGGACATACATAGTTATTTCAATAATTATCCATATAATTAGATAGAAAAAGATAAAAAATAGATTAATTTCATAATAACTTTTAAAGAAGCTTCATAGAATCTTATAGATATAGTTTTGACTTTAAATATGTTTGAAGTTGATTGTTAGGTTAGAAATTTATTCAATAAGTTAATTGCATATTAGTAGCTTACGGAATAAGTTAATTATGTAGCACATATTGTGATTGCTCATTTTACTTATTCCGGAAGAAACCTCCCAGAATAAACCCGTGTAGGGGGATTCGAACATGGGGAATGACTAGTTGCTTAAGCGTTCACGTTAGGATCATACAATCAATTACCTCCTGAATTTATCGTCTCTATTTCCAATGTCTGAACACACAAGGAAACTATAATCTCCTCCTTCATCTTATCGGTCTCTTCCTTACAACAATTCGGTCATACCAATAACTGCTATTTCCACCAATATATTCACCCTCATAATCTCCAATTGTAATACTGTGCCCTCACAGCTTTCAGCACACAATTACCCTCATTCCAATCACTGGAATTCTTCACACAGAACTGCCATTCATATTATGGTGTTTCACACAAACACAGACTCATTCTCTTTGCTGAACTACAATCAGATTTCAGCATTCAATCTTTCTTCTTCTTAAATAATACTAATCACATTTCCATTCCATAATTCACTTCACAATATTTAGAAACTCTCAATCCTCTTATTCAAAGAAAATAACAAACAAAAGAAAAGAGATAGCACCAAGCTTACCATGGCTCACACTATCACAACGATGGCCCTCGGCTCATGACTATCATAGTCTGGCATGTTAATTAACTTCTACAACTCCTATATACTTTCTCCTGATTCTCCAGATTCTAACCGTAATTCTGTAATTAACCGCTTTTAATAACTAAATCACTCATCCATCCTCCTGAATTTCATAGTATATAGACTATTAATATATTTTATCAATATCTTTCAAAAACGAATTAATATCTATTCTACATAGCTCCACTCCTATTTGTGCAGCATCCTCGCAAACACTCAATTGATACCTATCTAAAAATTATTTAACAAATCTCCACAAAAATTGCGATCCGTCTAGCCTATCTAATTAATCAATTGCCGCAGTATCTATTATTGATTCCACCGATTTCGGTTCCAACTACAAATCTTCGTCCTCCTCCAATCCTTCCATCGACTCCTGTTTCAACTGAGCTAAAAGGTCTTTATTGTACTCGCCCAGTTTACGGACTTGAGCTTCCAATTTTAGGATCTGGACATCCCAAAGTTCTAATTGTTGTTGCTGTTGATTCATCCATTCTGGAATATCTTCAATCGACACTTATAACTGACTCCTCACTATTAACTCTTAACTGGAACTACTACTCTCGAAAACACAAGAAATACAAGAAAATGGCATTCCAGCCAACCCAAAACAACACCACAAAATGACTTTAACTAGTGCCCCACTCCTATTCTTTTATTACCTGGTGATAATGACAACATGTTACCCATACTGTCCGTGAAAGGTAATGGAAAGTAATCTTTCTTGGTGGCCCCATTCAATTTCCGATAATCCTGACATATCCTGATTTTTCCATTCTTCTTCGGTACCATCACAATTGGCGACACCTATGCACTATGTAAAACAGGATAAATAAAATCCACGTCAAGAAGTTTATCCAATTCCTCTTTCACTAAAAGGAAATATTTTGGATTAAACCGGTGTTGTCTTTGATGAACTGGCGTAACACCCTCCTCCAAAATAATCTGGTGCTTACACACATCAATTGGAATTCCTTTCAAATCCACATACGACCACGCAAAGATAGATTTGTGATGGATGAAAAATTATTTTCAAGCATCTAATTCTGTACTGATAATACTGACATATATTTTAATTAGCTGTGGCGTTTCGTTGGTGCCCAGGTTAATAGATTGACACACAGGGTCTTCAACAACCTCTGATTTAATTATCTTCTCTTGATTTGAATATCTTATATTATCCGACATATGGGAACCAACCAAATTTGGTTCCAATGTGCTGACTCTATTGACTGCAAAATTGTTCATCCATTCGGCAATAGCATGATCCGAGTTAGTCGCATCTTCCTGATATAGTAAATATTCACCGGGGCCTCTATATTGGTAGACTCCTGCCTTTGTTGTTGAAGTGTTTTGTCTTACCCCAAATTGCGGTGAACCTATAGCATCGTCATCTGCCTCAATCGATTGACTCTCGTTGTCCGATGTAAATTCTCATTCTGGCAATTGAGATTCTCCATGATATTGTATCGGGTACATCTGTAAAATAATCTGACCACGACCTTTTTCAATTGTCAATGTGCCTCGACCCCAATCGTTCTTAGCTTTGGCTTAATAAAGCCAAGGTCTGTCCAATAAAATGGGATACGATAACGTAAAACTCTGTAATCGGAATACAATATAATCGATTTTGTATGTCAATCCTGCGATTACAATGGCAATATTGCATAAGATTCCCATTAGCTTTATCTGACTATGATCTGCCATTCGTAAGTCCAATGTCGTAGGTAGCAATTGCTTTAGATCCAAGTCCTCCATTGTATCTACGTTCATTAAATTCACATTGGAGCTACCATCGATTTGTACCCTTGGAATTAAAATGCCATCGATTGATACATCGATTATTGGTGCTCTCGGATCTGGGTTTAAGCTAACTTCATGAATTTTTTTAGTGCGGGATCTTTGTCATATTAACGCTGAATTCAATGTAGATCGACATTCCGATGTTACAGCCAAAAGTTGCTTCATTATAATTGAAGGCTGAATAACATCCAAATCCTTCAGAATGTCATAGGGTTCCATATTAAGAGTAATTCTCAATGCTCTTTTGTATTTCATTGGTTTCAATTTTACTCTATTTGGCAGCAATTCTTTCTTGGCGATTGGGATTGTCGTTGGTAACTTTGCCAACTTTTCTACCACTAAAGGTTCATTTAATGCATAAGATCTTTTATTGGGCTGTACATGTATTGGTACTTGGTCAGTTGGGATCGATCTTGATGGTCCCGAAAAATTGGCACGTGGAACCGAATTGGGTTCCTCAGTCTGTTGAGGTCTCATTATTGGAATACGTCCCAATATTGATATTGGTTTGTTTAGCCCCATGGACGGCGCTACTTGCTCTCTTGCGATTGATTCATCCAGGTCCTGAATTGGATTTTTGACTTTTTGTTGGCCTCTGGTAAGCACTGCGTTCACCACCTCGACATGATGTATTAGTGAGTCTCGTTGAATAGGGCTTTTGTCCTCCGTCGGTTGGCTTGTTTGCATTTGCTAGTCCCTGTTATTATAATTAAAGGGCGCATTGCACTCCTGATAAGTGTGACCAGACTACTTACAATTTCTACATATTGGAGCATAGTCATCATTGGCCCTTGGATTAGGACATTCACTCGTATAATGTCCAATTAGTGTGCAATGATAGCAACAAAGTGGTCTCCTGCCAACTCCTTCAGGGATAATGGGTGTCTCTAC